CGGTAGGCCGGCCCGCCCGCGCCGGTGACCGGCCCCGGGGACGCGCGCCCAGGCCGGCCGCCCGCGCCGGTACCGGCCGGGGAGCGGCGCGCCAGGCCGGCCGCCTGCACCGGGTACCGGCCCGGGAGCGGCGCGCCAGGCCGGCCCGCCCGCGCCGGGTACCGGCCCGGGAGCGGCGCGCCAGGCCGGCCGCCTGCGCCGGGTACCGGCCCGGGAGCGGCGCGTCAGGCCGGCCGCCTGCGCCGGGTCGCGCACCGAGTCGGACGTTGTGGCGTGCGGAGCCGGGGCGCGGGCGTGGATGTCGGGATGCTCTGGGAATCTGCTGGGGTGGTGTTGTCTTCCGGGAGCCCTGCTCTCTGCTCGTGGCTCCGTTGTCGTGCCAGGGAACTACAGTGGGTCCGTGTCGAGGCTGTATGACTGGATCAGGAAGGCTGGAACCGACCCGTGGCAGGTCTTTGTCAGTGCTACGCAGGTCACTCACATCTTGTACTCAGGACCCTGACACTTCAGGGGGATTTACGGTTTACGATTTGCGCCTGCCACACGGAAAAGCTATCAATTATTTCACGTCCGCTTTCGTGTCAGGTTAGCTTGCCGTCGGGCTGTTTGTTGGGGGCGCTTTTGCTGCCTGAGTGTATGCGCGCTCCGAGATTGCACATAAGACCAAATGTATTGATGATTGACGAGAAGGTCGCAGCCTGCTCCTGTCGAGCATTTGTTCTCGTTGCGTCGATGTCGCCGGGGAGCCTGTCGCCTGTCGTGGGAGATAGCGCAGGCTCGATCTTCATCACGCCAATGAAGCCGTATGCCCCACCAGCGCGAACTCGCCGCGTTCTCACCGACGGCCTCTGGGCGTCTTAGGAGAACCCTGCCGAGATGCAATCATCTGAATGCGCTCCGCCTGTCGCCTCGCTCTAAATCGGGCCTAGCGCTCGTTTGGAAAGGTGTATCGCGCGGCGTTGTGGGCCGGCAGATGCGATGGCTGCCGGAGCGCCTGGAGGTCGACTGCCTCAGCCCGCCGCGTTTTATAGCCTCGTTTTGACCGCACCATCTGCCATCATATTTCAAAAGTCAATAATGTGTCTCCCGGGATGGTGTTACGATCGATAAAGCGCCGTCGGGGGCCCGGGTGTCCGTTTTCCGTAGGTATTGCTCGATTCCTGTCGGTCCGATCGCGGCTAATAGTCCACTCAAGCCGAGCATGCCTCGATTGTAGATAATGCGCGCTGCAAAGCTAGCCTAGCGCACGACAGATTGGCGCCCATTGGGAAAGCTGCAAAGCTGCGTTTTTGTCGGCCGAACGGCGGGGCGCAATTGATGGGGAGCTAAACGTCAGATATCCGCACCAAAATAGCATGGGAAGCTGTTTTGACGATACTCCGCTGTATTGGATATCAATAAAGCTTCTACCAACGCAAACGGGACTGTGGAACCCTCGCATCGGCAATCGTCAGTGGTGGCCGTCATCGCCCGAGCTGCGTTGCCTACCGTGCCGTGGCGCAGAATTGCACACGCAGCGGCGTACATCGTCTGGGCGTCAGGCACCCGTCTGTGGCGCGCCGGCCGATCAGTCCGACCGTCCGACGTCGGCCCGGCGGCCGGCGGCGGCCTGCCCGGGTCAGCTCGTCGGCCGCCCGCCCGGGTCGCCCTCAGGCCGCCGGCCGCTCGCCCGCCCGGGCCGCCCTCAGGCCGCCGGCCGCCCGCCCGGGCCGCCCTCAGGCCGCTGGCCGCCCGCCCAGGCCGCCCTCAGGCCGCCGGCCGCTCGCCCGCCCGGGCCGCCGTCGTCGCCGCCGGCCGGGGTGTGCTGAGATACGCACCGGGGCGTCATCAATACGCCTGACGTCAGCTGCTGCCGGTGCCGCGGCCGGAGGTAACAATGGCGGCGGCCGCTCTGGAGCCGATCGGCTGGCGCTCCGCGGGCGGGACGGGGCGGGGCGGTGTGGTCTGCGCGAGGCGGGGCAGTGTTGTTCGGTGGCGGCTGCCGACTCCCCAGCCGGATTCCTGCCTATGGTACTCCCGCCTCCCCTGGACTCTGCAGTTGGGCTCGTTGCGGTCGATCTTCGATACCTGACTGCTCTTGCTAACCAGTTGGCCCCCTGTGCTAGTCCCGGAATTTCTGTTTGTTCTCGACCTCAGGCGCCGGAAGCGTCGTCCCCACTCAGCACCTGAGCTGCAGCCACGTCGGACGTACCGCCCCGGGAGTGGCTTTGGCCCGAGCGACCGGCGCCGGCGGCCCCGGCTGGCACCCGATCGAGCGGGCGCCGCACCTGACCCGGCCCGCCGTGCGGACGGCGCGCCGTCGACCGGCACGCCAGCTCGGCTAATGGGCGGCGTCCGACGCCGGTGGCCGCGCTGACGGCCGTCGTTAGGCCCGTCACGCGGCTGCAGCGCCGCTGACGGCCGTCGTTAGGCCCGTCACGCGGCTGCGGCGCCGCTGACGGCCGTCGTTAGGCCCGTCACGCGGCTGCAGCGCCGCTGACGGCCGTCGTTAGGCCCGTCACGCGGCTGCAGCGCCGCTGACGGCCGCAGCAGCTGCGGTTCCGGCCGGCACTGACGTTCACGGCTCCTACGCGCCGCCGAAGCACCGCGGCGCGTGGAAGTGACGTTTGTCGTCAGCTGTAACGGAGGCACGGCCATTGAGAGAGCGATGACCCCTCCCCCCTCCGCTAGACCTTGCTCCTGGCGTTAGTGGCGATTCCACTGTTTCAAGATTGGCACCCGAGATCATCAGTTTGTTACCCCGTGAAGTCTGTCCCCCCGCCGAAAGGTCTGTTGGGCTCACGCATCAAATCCTGTCGACGCACACGTTTTATGGTGTTAGTTTTACGGGGAGTCGGAAACGATTTTGACGAGCTTCAGTTGTCGTTTGTTAGTTTAACGCTGATTTCGGAAAGACATTGATAATGCTCCAACTGTCTAGATCGATTGCGTTTATCATGTAAACGCTAATGCATTTGTTAATAGCGTCCCTCCATGACGGATACTAATCGTTTTGTAGACAATGGCAATGTTGCGTTAGGTGCCCAATAAGCGGCGCTTTGTGTTGTTAACATACCGGGCATAACAAGTTACAAAACACGAGATATGGCCATCGTCCACCGCTGTTGTATGCTCCAGCTCAGGCGACGTTCCTGACGGGCCGTGTCGACAGCATGACTAGTAGCTGTGAATGTTTTACTTAATGTTTGTAGCTGATGTAGACCACATAGTTTTTGTCCGGGTTGGCATGTGTCCCAGGATATTTACAACCGGTAGTTTGGAAGCACGATAATTAGGCATGTGGGTATAATAGAGATGGTATCGATGGCTCTATCGCGGGGTGAAGGGAATGCCGGGAGATTGTTGTATTATTGGATTATTTACAGGTTTTTCATCGCTGTCGTGCTATTTGGCTGGCGTGCCTTGAAACTATCGGGATATATGATGTGCATTTGAAGATGCCTGTGTCGAGGTGATTCACCTGACTGTCGGGTTTTATCCTCTTGCGACCTATACCGAACGGAGTAGCAATGCTACTACGAATAGCCTACCGTTTATAGCGAACCGGGTCACCGAAACACACCGAAACCTACCGACTTTAGTGAGATCACTGGAATACTCCGGGGCGACAAATACAGCGCTGCGATCTGTCACTGACGGCCGTCATTGTCGCCCTGTCCACCGCGCCGTCACACCGCGGCAGACCGTGGCGGCCAAGCCCGGCCCGTCCGACACTCCTCCCGGAGAAGACCGGCTCTCCGGACGGGGTGGCGGCGGCCCGGCGCCGGCACACGCAGCCCGTGCACAGGCCCCCCGTACGGCGCTCCCACGCGCTGGAATAACGTGCCCGGACCATGAGATCCTTCCCAGCGGGTAGGGCTTTATGGCGTATCGCCGCCGCCGTACGTCGGCCGGCTGTCGGCCGGTAAACGGTGTTCTGTTGCTCTCCGGCCGCCAGACGGGCGGCGCGCTGACCGGAGCGGCCGCGGGTCAAGTGGCGTTCGCTTCAGCTGGCGACGAA